TGCCTGTTCCGTTCATCGAAACCTATCAAATAAATTCCCTACGATTTTCTGAAGTTTAATTTTTCCCATTTCACTCCCCATGTCAGGCTATTTTTCATAGAGAAAAGAAAACCTAAAACTTTTGGAATTGAAAATGAGATGCAGAGAGGAATCAGAAAAACTATCACTTTCGTAAAACTTTAAATTGCAGCGAAAAATTTCGGGGAAATAATACTTAAGCCCGCATAATTTCGAGAAGACTCAAGTTGCCCTAGGATGACCAAACAGATATAAATTTTTTAGCGCCACTTAGAATATATTCCTAGGGATCTAAAAGTACTCTGGATAGCCTAAAAAGTGTTTTCAAAGCATACAGAAAGAAACCGTTGTTGGGTGCCCCTGCTTTTAACCTCATCCTGGGTTACCAGGGCCTCCTATTCCACAACTTCTTGTGACTTTTTTTTTAGCTTTTTTTTTTATCCGACCGACCGACCCAATATCAGGAAACGCATTCGACGCTAAACAAAAAAAAAATAGGCGATGGCCTTAGCTGAAAAAAAAAATTAATACAGGTGCATTCTCCTTTGGGAGAATGTGAGAGCTAGATTGTACATGATTGTAAGATGGATGAGTCTAAGATTCTCAAGGTTCATTACCGAGGGTTAGCGGAAAACGTATTTTCCTTCCAAACTTCTTGAAAGGCAAGAAAATACAGTGAAAATACGACCGCAGCTTACCATAAAAGCATTTTGCTGCTCCAATTAGAATGCAAACTGCAGCTATAATACAGCTCTGCGGATCGTACAAATTGTGCAGCTTGCAATCATTGGAGTTAGGCACTAAAGTCGGAAGATAAGACATCGTTTAGTCGTGTAGTGTAGGGAATTGAGCTCCTACTGACTGTCGAAAAGGATTAAAAGAAAGTTAGGAGCGGCCAATGCAACGTTGCCTGCGTCGTAGACGCTCTAAACCTTCTGGACTACATTTACGAGTGCGTGGGTGCGTGGGCCGGCTGCAAGGCAGGCTAACGCAACGCAGCTGCACCGGATGAACATTCCACGGGGACGAGGAACACTGGACTCCAGCGTCTTTCGAATTACCCTGGGCCCAGTTGTTCGAAAGTCGATTAGCGCTAACCCAGGGTTAAATTTTAACCCGAGTCTCTTTTTCTTTTCATCAAAAGCATTTTCTCGGACAATTTTCTCTATTCTTTTTAGAGTAGATAATCATCAAATTGTTGACAAAAAGAATTAAACTGAATTTGCTCTTTAAGCTTTCATATCTGAATTCAAATTTCGAACTAACCCTGGGTTATCTTAACCCAGCTTTGAACAACTCGGCCCTGGGCGTTCCTGTTTAACCCAAGATTAAGCCATATTTTATAAGCACGGTTTTCTTGTCTACGACCATGTATTAACTCAAGCTTACAAAATACTGTTGAGCCTGCACTCTGAGATACAGTAATGATAACATAAAAATGTTACTCTAAGCAATACATAGGAAGGTGAATACAAAAAGTGGAACAAAATTTTAAGAGTCTTTTAATCCTGGGTTAGCGCTAATCGGGCTTTCAGGAACCGGACCCAGGGTACCAGAGTTGGTTTTTCTCTCGTGCGGCGGGAATTTTCGGTGTTGGCCGAGGAAAGCGCGCTTGAAAAGTCTCCGGCACCCAGGGTAAAGCAAAGCCGGAAGGAGCCGGAATTGTAGTTAGCGAAACCATCTCTGACCATCTCTCCTCGCTCCTTTCCGCTAGCTTAGGGACGTTCTCTATAGATAAAGCGTCGTTTTATATAACCTTTGAGTTTCATAATTATTGATAACTTTTAAGGCAATAAAATAAGGTCCACAATTTGCTATAAGTTGCCGGAAATTTCGTGTTTGCAAGTGAGAGGAACCCATTTGTTGTAGGGGTATTGTCTGCAAGTTTCATTTCCATGTGAACAGCGGTAAAACACAATAGGGCCAATTATACGAGGAAAAATCCTGGACGCGTCTTAAATAAGACGCGAACTGTACCATTTATACGAGCATGTGTTATCTAATAAGACGCGTCTTAGCTAAGCCGCGTCTTATTTTAGACGAAATGTGCCGTTTATACGGAAAGTTCGCGTCTTATTTAAGACGCGTCTTATTTTTCCTCGTATAAATGGCCCTAATGTTCGATTTTGGAAAAAAAAAATTTCAAGTGCCGAGAAATACTGTATGACTGCAAGTAAAATAGGTCATGGCGACATTTCGTTGCTATAAAACTCCGATGTCATTGTAACTCTGATCACAACAGTCTCCCTCTCATCTGTTTTTGTCTCGTCACGCAAGGCTCCTCCTTAAGGAGCTTTGCGTGACAAGACAAAAACGGCTGCGAGGGAGACTATGATCATAACAGATTTTCATATTATCTAACACAGCTGTAGTAGTAAGTTTTCCAAATTTTTATTAATTGCGACGTAGCTAATGCTCAAACTTGGGAGGTATTGACCCTGAAAACCCTATCAAGCCACCTTAAACTCCCTATTAAGTAGCCTCCCACGCAGACGTTCTTAGGGGTTCGTCACGCGTTCCACGAACCCCTAAGAACGTCTGCGTGGGAGGCTATAACTAAGGCCCGTTTCAAACGTCGTGCTACTGCCGTGCCGAACTAAATTCGACCTTAGCACGGCAGTAGCGCGACGTTTGAAACTAAGTCGTGCTACTGCCGTGTAGCACGGCAAGCGTTGCCGTGCTACACGGCAGTTGCTCGACTTGGTTTCAAACGTCGCGCTTCTACCGTGCCGAACTCAATTCATAATTTATGAATACATTAGAATACATTTAAAAGTTTGCTAAATCGTTTCTTCATTTTTTTTTTTTCGGCAACAGCCGTTCTATTTAACTGAATTAAATTCGACGCCTGAAACCAAGTCGTTCTGGTGTCGTGCTGCAGCCAAGCCCGCTTAGCACGGCCGTTACACGACGTTTGAAACAGGCAAAAAAGTCGAAAAAAGTCTACGTATTCGTTAGGTATATTGCGGTCCTGGGGACAGTACGGTAGGAATCGGGCGCAAAACCGAGCAGGGGTTTCTTGTCTTGTACCAGGAGTTTATACGAAGACTACGAATCAGTGAATCCTCTCTGTTCCTTTTGTTAGTAGAGGTTCTTGTCAGGTGTAAGCTGAGCCGGGAAAAAGAGAAAAGGAGGTAGAGTTTTTCTCTCTGCTTTCTTTCCCTCGCCTCCCCTCACTTGTTTTGCCGTTTGACCTTCCAATGAAGGTAAGCTTAATTAAATGCAACTTGAAAATTACTTTTTTTTGTCTTGAAAGAACGTTTTCCACAGCCAAAAGACTAGGCTAATACATTTACTGTAATTTATATGGTCAGACGTATTGAAAAATTGGTGAGTCAGGGTAGGTAACAGAATAAGGACACTAGGGGTTTAGCGAGCCAATTTTACATGTTAGCTCGAGTTGTAGAAGTCCTTGTTGGTGGTAGGAGGTCGGGATTCGGGATTGCATTTATGGACAGGACGCGGGATTTAGCGTTATCACGAAGCGGAATCTGGGAAGCCAAGTACACCAGGCGTCCCTATGGCGAGGAGGACTAGGTTCCAGAGGCCGTCATTTCCTGGTCACGTGGTCTTCAAACGATGGGGACGGAATGGTTCTTCTTACATAAGACCCGGAAGCACGCGAGCAACATGGCAACGAACGGAGTTCAACTTTCCATGTGTCGAATCAGAAAAGTTCTTTCGGGCTGTCAAGGGAAAACAACGATCGGAAGTGGATGTATTATAACCTGGCCTTTCGAAAGGGAATCACTAAATCCAAGTGGAATACCTAGAGGTAGTGCTTTGATCACGACAACTCAAGTTGTCACGAAAAACGATTTGATCTCACCCAGCACTTCAATCGTTGTAGAATGGTTGGACCGAGGAAACTTATTGCAGTTCAACCTAGGTTTTAAATATGCTACTGATATTCCTGATGTCATACCTGGGAGAGTTCTAGGAGGCACGGGCGACGCACTGAAAGATGTGGCATTTATCGTAATTCCCGTAGAGAGTTTTGATACAAGGAGCAAGATCAAGAGAGCAATTTCTTTCCTGAAGAGGGTCACCTCTTTTCAGAATCGGTGCTTGACTTGTAGTCATCCGACTGATGAAAGTTTGCAGGCTTCCATTTCAAGCCGAAAAGTTTTTTGTCACGTGGTACGCGACGGGAGGGAAGATGGACCCTTCCACACCGAGCCATACCACCTTGAGTTTGGTAAAGATATCAGTGAGTTTGCTCTGACTTCGCCATTAGATCACGACGGTGGAGATGATGTGAAACAATTAAAAGATTTCTGCAAGGAAGAGAAGCCAAGAGGAGGACTTCTTTTGAGTTCTGACGATCAATTTGTAGGAATGCTGGCGATAGGACACACAGACGAAAGGAAGTTATTTCCGCTATTCCTACCAACCCTGGATAGCAGAGCAGCTCCGCGTGCTCTTCGTAAGTACTGGTGTTAGAAATTGTAGCAATTTCTATTACCCTCGTTTGTTTCAAGTGCTAATTTTGCCCACACTTTATTGTTGAGATCTATTTTTTGCATGCTGGTCATCTTTTTGTCCTAAACAACCTCTCCATAAGCATAATCAACATGCAGGGGATTATAAGGTCGCCAAAGTATACGTTGCAGGCGAAGTTGTGAACGAAGTGATAACTCTGGAACTCGGAGCTTAAACTATCGATCACACTCGGAGAACCTAGACTCAAATGGGAATTTGCTTGCGGGGAAGAGCTGTCACTTCTCCTTAGGACCAGGATCAACCTCCTTTCTGGTACAGCAGTAGATAAGGTTGCAAAACTGAACATTGAGTCATATTGTTTTCAACAGCGTTTATCTTCTTCTTATGCATTAACTGGCATTAACATTAGCACACGAAGTAATCACTGAAATAATGCAATGAATGGTACAAACAGAACAAACTACAATAGCTCACCCATATGAGATTTCTATAACCATTGAGAAGAAAAAAGTACGATGCAAATATAAACAGAAATCATCTAGAGCTAAAAGGGTAATGTCACGAGGATATTGCGGTTTTAGGTCAATTCTCCCATACACAAAATATACTCCTCCGAGTTAAGAAGAAAGTCACTGATATCAAACAAATTTCATCAGGGAGCACTTCAAGCTTTTTGGTGATTTTCGGCAGGCGTACAGTATGTTGCCCAGTATCCGGACACTTCAGTTTAAAATTGCAATAACTTTCCTTTGTTAATCGCAAGAGCTCTGAAATTTGGCCCAGAGAAGATCTATCTAGTCCTTAATATGACGAAAGACAGTTTAACTTTTTTGCCTTTGTTTCCATCGCGAAATTAATATTTTTGCAGAGCTCCTATGTTGCCCACTATCCGGACAGCTGGACCAGTATCCGGACACAACAATAATAACGTAATTGTACATAAATTTCGACAGGCAAGCGACTTATAAGCTTCTCTTGCACTTGCAAAGTAGTCTGGCAATCGATTCCGAAAATATAACCTAGCATCGTGAAATAAAACATAACAAATGACTGGGGTATGGTGGGGAACGCGAGCGGCTGTTTTAAAAATGGTATAATTTCTCACTTCTTTGTCTAGGAACTTTTCCACTGATTTAAGGAAGGCATCCGTGGACATGCCGAAGCCGCAGTTTGCAAGCTCAATTAGCCAATCTGCAAACGACTTTCTTTCTTCATTTTTTATTTAAAGAAAAGCTTGGGGAAGGGACCTCAACCCGACGGTCAAAGGTCACTCTCCTATTTAGTCTGACCTGCAGTGTTGATTTCTTCATGCTCAGTCCCCACAATAAGCCTACTTTTCTAGCACTAATTCCTCCTTCTTTCACATCTCTCAATCCCTTTGTGACATTTTTTAGACCATTGCAACCCCATTCTAGCAGTCCCAACTGGGAAAAGTATGAGAATTCCAGGTTCAACTCGGACGCTTTCAGTTATATATAGAAAATGCAGTCACGCGAAAGAAGCGGCGCACACGAAATCAAGTCGCCTCTGAATGAGTGAAGAAAATTTCCATACGGAGTTGAGTAGAGTTACATTTTACGACTATATCATATATCCTAAGCTTTAATTATAGTCACTGATATGAAATAAATCTTATCCGGAGAATGTACACAGCTAATTCATCGATTGTGTACAGCAAAGAAAAAACTGTCCGGATACTGGGCACATGACATCAAAACTTAGTGAATGTTTCTGGCTTCCGTTATTCCAAACAAATCGAATTTCAAGGAGAATTAATAAACTTTCTGAAAACCTGACTTCCTTAAGTATCTTCACTTTAAAAATAAAACAGTTTCTTTGAAAATAACACACATTACCCTCCCTTTTCTGACCAGCACTAACTTTACTGCGCAGTAAACAGCGTAAATATTAGCCATGAAAAGTTTATTCACCTGAACAGAATGGCGTCTTCTGCGACTGTTTCGCAAGCTTTCAAATCGCCAAAACTTTCATCTTAAAGCTGAAATGTTCAGCTTTCATTCGAAATACTTCGTTTACCGAGAGCTGAAAAGGGCGCCTCAAAAATTGAGTTTTTGTTTCAAGTGTCCGGATACTGGTACCGTCCGGATACTGGGCAACATACTGTAACAGTAAAACCAAGAGAGAGTGATTCTCATTCTCTCTTGATAAAACTAGCAAAAGTTGGCCTAACCGTTTTCAAGTTTCAGTCCATGTCCATCCTTATAACAACAGATGACAGGAAACTGATTCAATGCATAACTATAGCCCTAAATAGCATAACTGGGCTGTTATTTTTTGGAATTCAGCGATGCAAGGGACGATTTAGCTTTTCATAAAGATAGCAAATAGCGTGACGTAGTTAAATAAGAATTATACAAAATAATCATCATTCAGAAAATTAATTATTTTTTAAAAGTCAACATACAAGTAATATGTGTACAATTGAAAAGAGCAACCGACAATTAGTTTTGAATGTCAACGCTGTTGGCTTTTTGAAAGCTAGGTCTATAAATTTCAGTTAAGAGTCCTCATTTTACGTCGGTAGCTCGAAATAGTCATCTGACTTACAAACCTTAAGCCGACGGTGCGCTCATATTACCCCTCAGCCTCTGTCCATCAGTACTCCGTTTTACGGCTATTTAGACGGCCCAGATGTCAGCCGTATTTAGAAAGTGTCATGGCCAAAAAGAATAAAAATGCATCCAAAATTTTCAAAAGCAAATATTAAAACGTTTAAAGAATGAGAATGATCATCTTCCCGGTAACCTCCTTTTTTCCTGTCGAACTTTGGTAAGCCAAACTCTAATTCATCTCCCATAATACATCAGATATGCAAATGACGAATAAGTACTCTGGAAACTCCATGGTAATTAAGGAATGGCTGGTAACCATAACTTGAAGCAGCATTCTTAGATTCCTAATGACACGTTTATTATTTTTCCAGGAAAGGAAGAGTGGAATAGCCAAGTGCAGCAAGTGCGTGATTTTTTGCCGGCCAGCCATGGAAGCGAAATTCAACCTCAGATTAATAGGTTCGAGCAAACGACCTCAAATGAAAGAGAAGACGAAAGCAGAAATAATAACCAAAATCTAACGACACACAGTGACCAGAAAATACAGACAGGAAATCAATTTAGCACTTCAGAGGTGCAGAGGAGTGGTAGTACTGCACGTGACAACCCTTCCACCTTGGAGACACCCATGGAGAACCCTTCACCCACAGCAGCAACGGGCAGCTCAGAATTTGTAGTTCAGGGGAACGAAGAAGCACTTCTGAAACAACCACCCCAGCGCCGGTTCCAACCAAATCAAGAAGACGAGATTGTTGATGAACGTCGGGTTGGTGATGGTAGCGAAGAGCAAGAGGATGATGAGAACTCGGAGGAAGAGGAAGAAGAAGAAGAAGATCGTCTCTCCGAATTGAACGAAAATGTTCACGGGTCAGACCGGGTAGATGGGCCAGTCGGAATCAGACCAAACTTCTTGACACAGAATTCATATCATGAGGACAACAATCTAACTGTTGGACCAGATAACCGTCAGGACGTAGCGGGTAACAAGGAATTTTTTAGATACAGCTTCCATGCATGTGCAAACTCAAGTATTTTTCATTGGACAACCTCGCCCCAAGGCTCTTCTCGTTTTCCAAACTCCAAAATGAGAATACCTGGGGGAATGGATTGCAGTGGCACAATATGATAAGATAATGAGGAGGGGGACATGGGGGTTTACGGTATTGCGGTATTGGGCTTTTTTTCATGCGGTATTTCGGTAATTTTCATTTTAAAGTGCGGTATTGCGGTATCATCTAGTTCTGCGGTATGCGGTTTTTCATCATTTTGGTTGACGGTATTCGGTGAAATAAGATTGTTCACGGTATAACGGTACCGTTTATTTGCGCTTTCATTTCGATACAATACGCAAAACAAAACACAGTAGGACATAAAGGTCAATAAAAGTTAAAATTCAGAAGTCTTGAGACATAACAGTAAATGATTACACCATTTGTGGGTCATTTTGTGACAGTTAATGGTCGATAATATACAATGTGATTGTTGCTGCATCCAATGATAATGAGTCATCTCAAGTCACCTTACCAGGCTTTTCGATCTGTGTACTTGAGCCGGTGGTAATTCGAGGTCTTACACGTTTTCTCACAATGGCTGAGATCGCTGAGGTTGAAGGCGGCGTGGTTATCATTGACTGTGTGGCAGTTTCTTGGAAGAGGGCGAAGGAGGCTAACATTATCGCAACAAGAATAAGTATAGATGTCGGGTTTCGAGAATTAAAATTTGGTAAGTTTGCCTCTTACCGGCGCGGCGTGTGAGACAGTCGAGACAGAATTTTCGAGGCGCAGGAATTTTTTTTCGTTATCAAAATCCTTGTATGAATTTTTTTTCATTTAATTTTCCCTTGCGCGAATATTTTTTTTTGTACTTCGCCCCCCCCCCCCCAATAAGTTTTCTAATGGTCAGTCACTTATCAAAACTCGCACTAGACGTGCGTGGAAAGGGTTTGGATTGGTTTGTTTTTCGCGCTTTCAAGAGTTATTTTTATTGGAGTTAATTAGCTGTTGGGTCCACCTACCAAAAGGTTGAACGAATGTAGTTTACTTTTCCGTGAAAATTTGCGAAAATTTTGCTAACTACCAAAATATTTAAAAAAAAACATGCACATCTGGTGCATAAATGCCTGAGATAAGTAAACGTACTAGATGGAAGCAACCATAAGTATGCGGAAACGATTATAAATATGATTAAAATATGCGGTATCGGTATTTGGACAATTTTCGACGCGGTATTTCGGTATTTGCCATTTTTTCTTACGGTATTACGGTATTGGGTACCCCCCAATGTCCCCCTCAATGAGTAAGAAACATTTCTGGTGGGTCCGTCAGTTTAGTCAAATATTTAATGATAACCATTTCAATGGACTGTCAGTAAAAGGTGGTTCGGCACAGTTTTCAGAGTTTCAAATTTTCAAAGAAGACGATATGATCGTGGCAGTGATGATTGCAATTTAAGGAACTGCAGATAAACCCGAAAAAATTTCGGGACTTCAACGGGAGGCCATGGGTCGAATCCCGTTGAATTCTCGAAATTTTTTTCGGGTTTATTTGTAATTGCTCAAATTGCAATTATCACTGCCACGATCATATCTTCGTTGAAAATTTGTACTTCCGTAGTTCACATTATCTTAAGAGTTAAAAATGTTTGTTAATCGTTGTTGGATGTAACTTTTATATTCCTACTAGTTGTACTGTCTTATTAACTTCTTTTACAATTGCTACTTTCACCTAATGTTATTTCTGTTGGTTTCCCACCAAACTATTTACAGCCCTGCAATACCAGAGTGGTGAATTCAGTTGGACTGCCTTCAGTGCGGACGATCAACCCAAGTCGCAGGAACTTGAGCATGTTAATCCAGGTACTTATTTACTGTTTGATAATGGACTGAAAAAAAGTGGCATTTGATCCTGTAAAAGCCGGTTGCTCTTTTTTTAGCCCTTGTAAAACACGATTATAACGCAATAACGAGCTCCCGGGTGGGAGAGAGAACTTGGGAACGAGGTTGAGGAAACGTTGGGTAAGCAAATGACTTGCGCCGTTCTGACGCTTCAGACAAAGAGTAATCATATGACGCTTAATTCACAAAAAGAGATCTGACAAATGAAAGTGACAATGTCGCAATTAAAAAAACTCCCAGATCGGGGTGATGAGAAGCTTGGCCTGTCGGAACAAGAATACCGTATTTCCTCGAATAATAGCCGTCCCTCGATCAATCACCTCCCTCGAATAATCGCCCCCCTTTGATGGGAATATTTAAAATAATCGCTTCCCTCGAATAATCGCCCCCTCCCCGCCCCTATCACCATCTTCTGTTTCTTTTATCCCCTCAGTGGAATCTGATCCAGCAAAACTGATCAGTGGCGATTCAAGCTCTGAAAATTAATCAAGGAACCAAATTTGAATTCTTTAAAAGTCCATGTTCAGTTTATTTGATGTGATAATTTTTTGATTTATTGGGATAATAAAACAAAATATTTAGGGCACGACTTCCAGTGTGCAATATTTGAAATAATCGCCTCCCTCGAGTAATCGCCTTCCCTCTAATAGATTTAGATTTTTAGATTTTATTGTTTTTCCGCTATTTACATATTGATTACACTGGAATTTTAATTTGTATAAGTACCTTACAGAACAATGTCGGAAATAAAGATAACAAGAAATTGAGGAATTAAGGTGTGCGCAGTGACCAAAATAGCTAATGCTTTCGAGTTGGTCACCGCCACGTTAATTGTCGCCGGCTATTATTCGAGGAAATACGGTATTTACTCGCATGTTGAAAAAAAAAAAAAACGTCCCCCCGGCACAAAAAACGAAACGCGAGCCCTTCCGCCCCCCTTTTAAGTCCCTCTCCTTTTTACAAAAAACCTTCCGAAAAAAATTACGCAGAGTGTTTTTCCGGAAAAAAAAAATGAGTTTTTTTTTTTTAAAATCGTACAGAGGTTGTTAGGGGGAAGAGACAATTTGTGAGTGCGTAAGGGCAGAAAAAAAAAAAAAAAGAAATTTGGGAATTTAGGGGGTGCCCGGTACCAAAAAAGGTAATGCTTTCGGGTTGGTCCCCCGCCCGTTAATTGGCGCCGGGCATTATTTCGGGAAATACGGTATTTTCCCGCATTTTGAAAAAAAAAAAAAACGTGCCTCGGGAAAACAAATCGGAACGCGAGCACTTGCGCCCCCTTTTTAAGTCCCTGTCCTTTTTACGCAAAACCGTCCGAAAAAAATTCCGCAGAGTGATCTTCGCGAAAAACAAAATGAGTTATTTTTGTTTTAAATCGTCCACAGGTTCTTTAGTGGAAGACACAATTGTCAGTAAAGTACGAGTCATGGATATGCTCGCACTCTATTTGGACAGATCCGTCTGCCCAGGATCCCGAGATGTTCCACTAACCCAGCGATGGGAGCATCTAGCAGACGTGTTTAAAGTGCCAGAAGAAAAAAAGAGGCAATGTGAAAACTTCACTGGAACCCTGAGTCCAAGTGAAAATATGTTTAACTATTTATGCGTAACAAATGATTCCTTGACCATCAAAACGATAAAAGAGAAACTCAAGGAGATAAGAAGAAATGACATCGTGGCTAAGTTGCAAAAAAATAAACTTCTTAGGGGTAAGACATTCACCAATCCATGTCTACTTTATCTTTACTTGGCTCAGTAATCATATCAATATTTATAAACCGCAAAAACCCGGTAAGAAGCTCTTGGGCACATAGAATTTTGTATTAAAGGTTTGGGTGGGCTGATATCTGCGGGGGGAGCCTACAGAGCCGTAGCTAGCGAGGGACAAGGAGGGCAGCTGCCCCCTCTGGACCTGTTGAGCCAGACACATCAAGTCTTTGGATGGATTTGTTTTCTTTAGACTCGGTTATTTTGATTATAGTGACTTGCAATTGTTTGCCAGTTTCATTATTCGAGGTCGATTTTTCAGAGACATATCTTATGACAAGTGCTGAAAATAGCGTTTCGGAGCCTCCAAATTTGAAAAATTTTATTCCCCAGACCCCCCTACGAGGCTCGTGCCTTCGGCACTCGAAATAATGCCCCCCACCTCCCTACCGTTAAAAAAAACCTAGCTACGGCCCTGGCTTATATTCGTGGGGGACTAATAACCGGAATAAAATGTCTTCGTTAGCGTTCTGTCTCGATAAACCAAGTACAAGACCACACAACAAAGGAGATCATTACTGCAATTTTAAGTTACAGTCAACTCTCGCTTATAGACCGGCCTTTGCGACCGGCACTAAGTGAGGTCCTTTTACGAGTAATGTCCGTCCTATAGAGAGCCAAGTAAAAGGAGTAAAGAAAGCAGGGACTAACTCGAGGTGTCCGGGTTATCGAAGTTCACGTTAAGAGAGAGCGGACTGTAATTCACCTTTTTCCATAGCTTTTAAAAGATACGGGTGGAAATCATTCAAATCAAATAGTACCTTGAACACCAAAATTGTGATGAACGTGCTCAGTTCACATGCCAGGAACCTCTACAGGTCTCTAAGCTCATTGGGAAGAGCATTCAAAATAGTCACTGGAGAGGATTTTTAAGTTCTCCAGACTCCTGATCAATTTGGAGAACTCCACTGAGTTCAGGGGGGGGGGGGGGGGGGGGAGTTTGCCGGGTTGTTTTTGCGGGGGTGGTGGGCCCCCCTCCGGGTAACCCCCTCCACTTTGATGTATTTTTTTGGGGATGCGTCAGCGCTCATACTTTCATTTTTTTTGTTTTCAACAGGTTAGTTTAAGTCTATCATAATCCACCATTTTTCTTTTTTGTCTTTTTAGCGAGTTACACCTAAAGGGGGGGGGGGGGGAGGGGGGGTAACGTACTTGGGTTAATTTTTGCTGGGTAGGTGCCGCTGCCCTCTGAGAGCCCCTACTCCATTATAGTCTATTTTGTGGCAAGTGATAGACCCTATCTTAGTCACTTTTACTTTTGGGAAAATGTAATTGTCGCGTTTCCAACTTAGTCACTTTCTATTTATGCATCTACGAGCTATACAAGCATTCTGGTTAATATTTACAAACGTATCGTCATAACTAGTTGAAAATGAAAACATTCTTCTTTAAATGGGAACGTTGTATTAGAGTGTTAAATATGGATAAAATCAATTTGATTATAACAAAATTAGAGATGAGAAGATTCCTAAATCCCAATGACATAGATTTTCTTACCCCAAAAATCTGAAAATGTGCGACCCCATTCTAGTAACTATTGAAAATGCAACCCCATTATAGTCAATCCAGTCGTAAAAATGCGACCGTATCCAGCGGCACATCCCCAGAAGCCTATTTTTGGAAGTACCCCCTCCCCCCGGCCACAGAGTTGCCATTTTCAGTACTCTTTTCAATAGAGATGCAATGGCGTATTGTGTGTCAATTGATCCACTATTTTTTCTATCCAAAAAAAGACGAGCTTACGTGTTTTACTTTCCAATTTAAGATAACCATACAGTGGCAGATCTCTGTGAAAACCATCCCGACACGTTGAGTATCGTGTGTCTCTATTTGGACTACGAGCGCACCTTCGGTACCTGGCAGGACCTAGGGATCAAGTTAGGTATTACTGGTGGGACCCTATGGACATTTAAAAACCCTTGTGGTGCGGACAGTCCGTCCACGACACTTTTGAAGAAGATTGAGACTATGAAACCAGGACTGCGTATATCGACATTAGAGGCTGCCTTTGGCGAAGACCAGTTAAACCTGCCTGCCGTAGTAAAAGTTCTAAGCGTTCTCGAAGGTAGGTAAAAATGAAATGGCAGAGCTCGTTGTTGCCCGGTTAGCAACAGCGAAAAATGACGTTACGCTCCTAGAAAATGCAGTTTGTTTGCCCATGAAACAAAAGAACCTCTTCAATACCTATCTGTAGGTTTGTGGAGAAATGGAATTTGACCAGGATCAGAAGTTTTTAGGAGAGAGGAAGCTAGAGTATGTACAAGACCGAGAATCAGTTATTAGGTTGGTGTTGTTTCAGCTCACCGGGAAGTCGGATTTTATTTTTTTATTACGGTAGCACCAACCGCCGAGAACATCTAAAAAATTCGTTGTGTAACTGAGAGTACGCCAAAAAAATCCCAAATTTTGCAGAGAAACCACTCGGCTGCGGCTTGTGCTTGCATTTCACTTTTTAAAAGTTTGACGCCATTTCTATGGTCGATAAGATTGTCGGTTTTTTTTTTAATATAGAAATAGAATTTAGTTAAGAGAAATATACTTAACTTTACTGTTTGTAGATGGAAGTACAATTGAGACCTTGTTGGACAACGAAGAAGTTTTAGATAAAGTAACGGCCTTGCTGGACAGGAAGGACAACTTTTGGTACCCCTTGGGTCGGAAGTTTGGAATTGAAAGGAAAGAGCTTGATTATTTGAAGCCCGAACCAATCGCCAGCCCAACAAAAATGATGATGAGATTCATCGTTGGTGACCAACCACTCCTCAGCATGAAAACTTTTTTGGAAGCTCTGGCAAAGATCAATCGCTTTGACGTCATCAAGGAAATGAAAAAATTCTTTTACGGTGAGTGATTTTTTTAAATTCAAATCTTTTTTTAAATACGTATTCTTTTCTTTTATCATACGTAGAAATATTGAATGGAGACACGTCTGATCGTAAATCTCGGGGTTATAAAGGTTTATCATTTTATTGTTCAATTCGATACGTCACCTTATTGCATTGACCGAGAAGACCTGGGGACTAGACCGAGCGGAAAGTGAGATTTGGAAAAAAAATGGTAGCAATCTCACCATGAGTGCGTTTTAAGAGTGCGTTTTAAGTTTAATGTCGTGGAAAAGAACGTTGTCAGAAAGTAAAAAGAAAGATCAGCGACTAGCTCTGAAGATACTTGATCATAAGAGACAAGATCAGCTAGGGCACTTGACTAACAAAGTTAGATGTGGAATTCATTTTCCGGTGTTTTAAAAAGTTTATATCTAAATTGGGGTATGAGTGCGGCATATGGAAGTTAAAGTACCAGTAAGGTTTGAAATAAGGTTTCGCTCAAACAATCAAGAAAAATTTACTTTACGGAAAAATGCAGTGCATGCCGACATTTAAGCAGTTCTTTCGAAGTCAATCGACCCGATCTGACTCGGTCGAGCAGGTTGACTTCGATTATGTTCAAAAGAAAAACGATTGAAAAGCTATGGGATTTGATTTTGTTCGGTTTTATTCGATTGTTGACACTATGGAATAAATCCGCCAGTTCCCAGTCCTTTCACTTATCCCTTTCACTTAACCAACGTGGTAGCCTGCGAAAACATTTGTTTCTTCTCCCTCTTTGAACGAGCACAAACAATAATAATAATAATAAATTTCTGTCAATAATTCATCAGTGAGGATGTGTACTTGTATCTTTTCAGCCAGTGACATTGAAGGCATCGTACCTCGAAATACTCTGCGGTGACTCGATGGACAAAGTGCGGTTTTTACAACATCCCAAAGAAATGATGCTGCCCTCTGATATAACTTGTTACTGAGATATAGTTTTTATAATAGACCTCTTTACTAGGTTTTATTTACCTTGGGTAGGTCATGTGATAATACTCCAGAGAACCGTTTCTTTCAAATTTCGTCTTATTCATGTGCATATGCACGCATAATTTATTATATAATTCCCCTAAGATACAGGCTAAAGATTGTTGAGAAAACGTATGAGTTAGTATTTAATGTAGTTTAATAACCAAATACGAAAAGAAGAGAAGATAGTCTTTCAAATTGGCCTAAGCATCTGTATGAACGTGCGACGTGTCTACAACCGTGTTTACATTAAGCGCATTCCAAACGCAGCGCCGATGTATCGACGTGTCGAACTCAATGGCCCGGGGGGGGACTCCCATATGAAAGGGGCGGGGATGCTCGTTGGAAATTTGGAATTAAACCCCTAACGGAGAGCAATCTGAGCGTCGCCCAACCTTTTTTTGACCCCTAAAAGCGATTATTTTAAACTTTGATTACATGAATCGAGTAAATAAAACGAATTGAAAATATATGATTTTTTAATATTTCTTCGAGTGCAATACTAAAAGAGACCTTTACCGCTAAATATAATGGTGTTTTGCCCAGAACACCCTAAGCGAGACCAAAATCTGAATTTTACACCCCTAAGCGAGACGACGAGCATCCTCACCCTTTTCATATGGGAGTCCCGCCCCCGGGCTCAATGGATTCTTCCCGGCAGTGAGGTGTGGCTTAGCAGTGGTTGTAAACCGTCGAGTTCAAATCCAGTTGCGCCAAGTTCAAAATCAAATCCAATTGACAAAACAAACCATCCATTGAGCGAAAAATCGAGGTAAAATACCGTATACATTATACATTAAAATAATTCATGAATTCATTTTGGTACGCCAGGAGGGTCTGCGGTGCCAAAATGAGTTGCGCTGAATCCAGTTCAACGTGTCGAACTGAATTGGTTGAAACGTCTTGCTAATACAATAACCGTTAACTCGAATGTAACTCTCAGATGAATTCAGTTCCATACGGCAATAGAAGATTAAAAGATTATTAATAGAAGTAGACCGTTCAAACGTCACACACAATTTTCTTTTTAATTTTTAGTTCTAGCAAATACATAAGAGAGATTAGCTTTTGACTGAATGTGAAAATCATTCACAGCAACACCTGCAAAAGTAGTATCACGTTCTATAGCATCAGATAGCATACCCGCACTGTGAAAGATACAGGGGTCGACAGTGAGTCTACCTTTCCATGTAGTAATGAACACCCAAGAGAGACGAATAAGTCATAAAACAGAGATATAGGACTTAGGTGCAAGACAAGCAAACACTTTACTGTAAGCTACTTTCAGGGAATCCTCTTTGTATCTACTTACTTTCTTTTTCAACTCCAAGATATTTTTACATATTTTGGGATTTCATAATTCCCTCTTGTCGATGTCAAAGCTTCTAATGTAGTTTGTTTAAAAGTAGGTTCCCTGAGTGGTTTTCTCAGTGTAGCTTCAAACATAAGTTGGCAAAATAGTAAGTTTGCCGCACCAGCAGTAAATAACACAGAGGTAAACAACCGAGAAACAAACCACCCTGACACAAACAAAGCCCCTGCTGATCTCGCCAAAAATGAAACCAAATGTTGTAATTTTTATATTTTTTACAATAAACAAAACTTTTGTACTTAGGTAATAAAATACCACTTTTGGCAAACCTTTCACATGCTGATGAAGTGATTACCATCATAAAAATATTTAAAAAAGCAAAGCTTTACACGGACAGGCTCCACCCTAAGGTCCAATCCTTTACCCTAATACATTCTATTTTTGACAGAATAGGTGCTCCTTTTGTAAATCTCGCTTTGAAACATGGTACCTCTCACACATACCTACTAACGCTGAAATAGTCTTCTTGCTATTTCCATGTAGCGTTTAATAATTTAAATTCTACAGCCATTAGGTGTGCCTGTTTATCAGCAAGCATTTTGAACTTGACAATGGTGTCAAGATGACACCGAAACGTCGTTTTTTTGCCCGCATTGTTTTTTACTTGTTTCAGTTCGAAAAATGTTAATAAAAAGCCCTTTGAAATACTTAGAAGACAAATTTTCCTACCCTTTCATACGCGACAACTCGTAAAATCCCTACCCGCTTTTACAAAGATGAAACCTAAACAAAGGTACCCCTTTTGGACGGAGCCTCCCCGTGTAGACCATTAAAGGAAGTGCCCCCCAGGCCCTTCGTAAGAGATCTGACGAAGTTTCATACGTTGCACGTCTGACTTATCTTTACTATGCAAACGACATCTAAACTAACTTTTGAACTTAGATGTTTTACTGTACTTGGACTATATACTGGCTACTCCTCGCCTGATACAAGGGGTCGCTGAAATAAACAAATAAAATTACAAATCAATAATAATAAAACAAAAAGGCTTTACTTCTGGTCTTATCTCGGCCGATACTAAAAAGGATAATGAATTAACAATTATTCAACGAAGTGGAAGAAAACAGCAAATACTATCCTAATATCGGCGTACGGAAACCGCTAAAGACCATTGTATGGTCTGGCATATTCCTCAGGTACAAAAAAAAATGTTTCATAAAACTAATGTTTGATAGGTGTAATGGGGTGCCCTCCCCTTAGAAAGTAAACTGTAAAGCTTAACATTTACCTGGTCTGAGAATTCATCCATGCGAGTTCCCATGAAAGGAACACGTGATCTCCTCGAATAGGCTGTGTGAGTACAAATAATAGAAATAAAGATCAGTTCAAAAAAGGACAGCCTGTATCAAAAAAGAGAACGAGAAGGTTTAGGAAGAGCTCATCTGCTGGATTAGAGCCATTGATTTACAGCCAAAATGTAGTATGTCTCTGTCACTGCTTTACTAGCACAATACCCTCTACCAATCCATTCCCCCCCCACCCCCACCCCCCAATTTCGCACTTGAAAATTTTACTTGCATTAATTGATTTGGGTGATTTTTTTAGTATGAAGAATTATTCACGCGTCGACAATTTAAAAATTAAACGCGCCAACGCTCTTAGGAGAAAATTAGGCTTGAACCGGCCTGACATCTTTGATGTCCGGTCCATCTCAAGTTCTTTATGTTGACACGGGAATACGACCAAGTTTAGGCAATGAAAATTCCGTCGTTTTAACGGAGTAATCGCATTTACGGGGTAGCATATCACATTATGGTGCTACGATTTTTTGATGTACGACATTGGAAGCTCCGATTATCAACGTGGCTGATATCACACACACCAGTCAAACGCTCATTACAGTACTTTAACGACTTTAAGTACATAATAAGTTTTATGCTTTGTCCAGTTAACTGCTGCCTTTATCCTTAACAGGCATTCGATTGGTCGTATAAAGTTAGTAGCAGAGCGACAAAATGATTTGGACTTGTATTTTGTTTGGGTCAGCAAAAAGTGGTTGTAATAACGAGATGGTTGCATCCTGTGGTTCCGTTATACTAAAAATAAGCAAACGTTTGAGTCGTTTTCCACCAATACATTGTAAATTTTCATTCAAGATCTGTCTCAGTCCCAGAATGCCAATTTAACCATCAAGACTAAAACTCTGATTTAGTCCGTTGTGGAATCACTAAACTTGATCACGCTGACTGTTTTTCTTGTTGTTTACGTTTACCTTCTCTGTGATCTCTGCCTTGTCCAGTCTTTTTAAGCTGCACAACCATGCCAGCAATAAACATGATTGGAATCAATGAAAACATGAGCCAAGTGTACCAACAATGTGGTAAATCAGACTTGTCATAATGGCCTAAACAAAAATAGATAAAAAATACCGGTACGCAGTATAAATGATTACCTGAAGTTTCCCTTACCGTTCTGTTTATCTTTCTTCCCATTTATTAACAGTTGACTAAATTATAAATACAATCAGGGTGTGTGTCTTGTATAGTTAAATTCTTTTAAGGATCCTTACGATACTGGATATTGAATTATTGACAAGGTAAAGAAATTGAACTACTGCCACTAGAATGCAATGTCCCGCTCAAAAGGCCGTCTGCAGCTCAAATACTGGCTTTATATAGTTAGGTAAAAAAAATGAGACTTTCACATTTTCAAACGTCCAATTTAGGGGTCTGGAAGACTTCGAGAGAAAAGAGGACAACTTTTCCTGTCAAAGAATAATACAAAAAGGGTGGAGAACGCGACCTGTTTTCCAAATAGTAATCAAAACCAGTGACATCCAAACAGCGTGCGTGTCTTGTATGGTCAAATTCAATTAAGGATACTGACTTACCATGCAACATGTTGACAGAGTAATAAAGTGCGGTACTGTTCTCCAAGTAGTAGTCAAAACCAGTGATGACAGCGAAGGCTCCCACAAACGATGTAGAGATGACTATGATCACCTGAAAAATAAAAAATAATATTTTTTTCAGGTTGTTATCGAAAGGAGCTCTTACTGACGCTTTCTTGCCTGAGCGCAGTAACTTAGAACAGACCAATACTTTTTTAAAAATTATCGTTGCAAGTACAGGAGTGCAAACTGCCAATTATAAAAGAATCCATGCGGGGTTATCAAACCAGTTCTAGCTGTAGATAAAGCTGCATTAACACCTGCGTTACTGAATTGATAAATTTGTAAAACATACCTTCTGTATGCAAATAATGAGAATTCCTCCAGCAATGGCAAATGCCAAAAGAACAACGTAGGGAACCCAGTTGTGTTCAGACAAGAATTCAACATGTTTGTACATGAGAGGAAGAAGGAGCATGCCAACAAACCATCCCATGGTCGCTCCTAAACAACACGGCATGCACTCCAGTTAATCTTTAGACTGAAAACAGTCTCCTAATTTTCTTTTAAGTCAAGGAGGATCGCGAGCACGCAGAGGAGTGAGCGACGACGCCTTGAAGAACGAGGGCGGAGCCCGGGTGAAGAAAAATAAGAGTCGTCATTTTTCCTCTCTCCGCCCCAATCTCTCTTCCCTATTGCCCCTAATTTGCATAATTTCACTTTTTCGCCCACCGCGCGTGACTCTGAGAAAAGAATGACGACCGCTGGCGGTCTAGTATATCAATAGGGAGCTTAAACGACGACGACGGCGATGGCAACGAGAACGGCAAAAAACCAATAGGTTTAGCTTGGCAAAATAACAACTCTGCACGTGCATCACGCTTTTTTGTACATTTCTTTGCCGTCGTTGCACGACCACAACGTGAAAGTGCCTAATTTCACTTTTTGTCGAGGACGGGAACACAAAACAACAATTTTCTTTTTCTTTTTTTGAACTTTGATAAAATCCTTTAGAATTCAACTCCAAAGAAATTTCCCAGCATTTGACGAATTAAACGAGATGGAATAAGCGCGATAAAGTTTGAGGCAGCGCGACTTCACTTTTTAAGTGACGTTTTCGCAGCCGTCTCCGTCGCCGTTGCTTAAGCTCCCTATCATCATCGCCTTTAACGTTAATTAATAGGGTCAAGCAAAACGTGTCAAGGAATTGGGATCTAACCAGACGGCTATACCTACCAAGGACAAAGAGTCCAAGATAGAAAATACACAGCGTCAGTAGGCCAGCAATAATACCAACACCGATAGAGACGCCGAGAAAGATCTGAAAATGAAAAAGAAAACCGGCAACGTGATTTATCCTCGAACATTATTAATGGTAAAATTTAAGTTCAAGTTTAAAGATCGTTCATAAGAAATAAGCATAACATTCGTATTAAACAATATCATGTGATTCACAATGACCGAGTATGATGAATAAATGTGGGAAATGGTGCAGTGATCTCAACGAACGTTTGAGAAGATTTGAAATTGTAATAGAGATTATGAAGCCTGCGAATACTGCCGTCTCTCTTCGCTCCTCGCCACTTTTGACGTTCTCTAGAGGTGGGAAGCGAGGAGAGACACGTCACAGCTGTATTTGAAGGCTAGGGGTTATAGAGCGTTTTCACATGACGTCACGGCGGCCATATTGGTGTTCCAATTCAATCCTGTGGGATTTGAACTCTTTTCTTATGTAAATACTTTCTTTTGTTCCAATAAATTAGCATAGATGCTGGCCACGTGAGTGAAAACGCTCTATAGCATTTGATGATCAGGCGGAATAGGCATTTCCAAGTTAAAAAACTCTCACTTTCAAAACGAGGCTAAAGGCAAAGCTATTCTTAAGAAATGAGTTTTATTTGCTTGCCAATAACAAATCATTTCATATCGATGGCTTCGCACTTAGCCTCGCTTTGAAACAGAGGCTTAGGGCTAGTCCGAAATGGCCAATTGTCGTAGAAAGCTCGGAGGTACATTGATCGCAGCCGCCATCTTCTCGCCCCAACTCTGTTAGTTTCAACGTCCAAGATGGTGGAAAAACGTTTTGTCGTATCATCGTTCGCACTGCAAAATACGCCGGCTTTGCAGGATAGAAAAAACAATCTCGTCCTGGGAACGAGGTTGTAGAAAAAAAAGCCTTGTTTTTCACGGCTTTAATAAAAACGAAGAAGAAAGAGAAGGAAAAGAACTGGGTGCCTTGACCAAGAAAGGAGAAAGGTGATATCCAGAGTGATACCAAAAGTTCTGAAGATTGTCACAATATAAATTTTGGCCCTACTGCCACAAACAGATTAAAAAAGCCGGTAACAATACAAGTCCCCGCCAGTTTCTTTTCAGTGAACCAAACTCTTCACTTCACCATCTTTTAAAGGGTGATCGGATGGCTGATACACTGTTCCCCAACATATTAATTCAACAACTCGATCCCAGTACCCTACTGGTTTCCAAAAAGGCTAATTGACTATTTTCCAATTGCCCATAATACACTCTGTTTGCCCCCAAATTTTGCATAACTTATTGTCTTAAAATGCTCTTGGGAAAATGCAATACCCCCAGGAGCATTTAAAAACAATGGTTTATGCAGAATTTGGGGGGCAAACAGAGTGTATTATGGGCAATTGGAAAATAGAGAATGGGTCAAAAAATGGGCAAGGTTGTCTGACGACCCAAATAACGACTGGGTGGGAGACAAGCAAAGGTCCTGCTACATCCAAACTTATGGCGCACCTGATCCTTGTGTTCCAAAGCTTTCTCAGGAAGATGATCAACCAAATATCCAGAACACAAAAGATAAGTGAAAAAAAATCCTGCCGCAAAACCAGCCAGGAATAACGTAAATTTGAATACGCGGTAGCCTGAAAAAAGATAAAGGACACATGAAGTTTGTTCTAAAGTTGAATACACGAAAACTTTTTAAGACTGAGAATATCCTTACACTGATTCGGACGAAATATTCGTCTCGTTTTCTTAATTTTTGCCCTGAGTTTTCTGCACTTGTTGCACTGATTATGCGGTTTAACCGGGATGGCTAGGCTCTACAGTGTGACTCCCGCTCTCCGTACTAGGGAACACTTCAGTGCATTGTCACCTACACATTAAACCAATACAAATCGTATTGGTTATGTTACCGAACGATCATCAATACGTACCACTACCTTTAAAACAAAGAATGGATTCATTTGGAATATACGCTGGCGCCACATTTACCTCTTGAATTTTTTTTGTTTTTAAGATCAAAACAGTAAAAACATACATCACGCAAATGCGACGCCTATACGCGTTTGTGGCAAGCGAACCCACCCATAAAAAAAACGGTAAAGAAGAAGCCGGGCCTAATTGTCTATGAAATAGAAGCGTATGTGCCGAACAATAAGCGCGAGTGACTAGTGAACTAAGGCCCGTTTCAAACGTCGTGCTACTGCCGTGCCGAACTCAATTTATCGAATTAAATTCGACTTTAGCACGGCAGTAGCTCGACTTGGTTTATAAATACATTACAATATATTTAAAAGTTTGCTAAACCGTTTCTTTATTTTTGTGTTTTGTTTTTGGCAACAGCCGTTCCATTCGACTGTCATTGTGTGAATTAAATTCGACGCCTGAAGCCAAGTCGTGCTGCAGTCGAGCCAGCTTAGCACGGCAGTAGCATGACGTTTGAAACAGGCCTAACAAACTTTCTGAAGGACTCACGAATAAATCTCACTCTAAAGATCAAATTAGCTTCCACACTACACACTTGGGGAAAAGGAACTTAATTTTTAATTTCTTATTTATCATCTTCGAAGCGAGAAGAGAGTCCTTGATGACTTATGCTCCAGTTAAGTAATGGGTCGGTTGCGAATCACTAGGAATTAAGTACAAGCCGTACAACGAAACGGAAAATCAAACTTGATCAAACACAAACACTTGATCAAAACACGATCGATTGATTTTCCCTGATTAAACCTTTGCAGATGCTTAAGCCGAATGAGACACAAATTTAAATAGTGGCTGAGCCACTCAGACATCGTAGATTAGACGTTGTCAGTTTGATTGTATGAGAATCTAATGTAGAATTATTTCCGTAGAACGGCTGTTCTGAAAAAAATATGATTTGTAAACAAAAGCTTCACTCCTAAGGATTCTCCTGAAAACATTTGAGGGCGGTACATGCACTAGAAGACCTAGAACCACTTTTTAAAATTTTCTATACATTTGTCTGTAAGAAAGTTCCGGGAAAATTACAGACAAATATATGGAAAATCTAAAGCAAGCCCTGGAGAAATCTAAGCACAGGTACGCCCCCCAAATAGTTTTAGGACAATCCTTTGCTTTGTAGCTTTAGTTACAATTTATATGTTTTTCAGAACAGCCGTTTTACGGAAATTATTCGACATTAGATTCTCAAACAAACACTGTAATTTCTTACACGTTTGCCTACTCGTCAAGATGGCGTCGAAAACCGTGACAACGTCTACAGCCCACTAAATAAATAATTCACGATCAACTGAGAATCAGAAGACCCGAAGTCAAAAAACGGATAAATTTTGGCGATACAAAACAGAACAACAAAATGTTAGACGCCTTCCGTCTGTGTCACAGTTCACCAAAGACGCCTAACGTTTATCTCACCAAAGAAGCAAAGGATAGTTCCCACCACAATGCAGACCGCAGCCAGAACACAGCTTTGCGCATCGTATGAATTATGCAGCTTGCAGCTATCCGTGTCGGGTGCCAGGCTTGGAATTGTAAAACTAGCCATCGAGAAACCAAACTATAAGATATTCCGAAATCAGCGCGGCAAAATGCTTTCTGGTTAAAAAACAAACACCGAGAAAATGAGATTGAAAACGTAATATTGAGGTTACAGTTTCCATAGAAACTGTGACTTGTAAGTAACGAAAGTGAGTATATAATTCGGAAAGCCGAATGTAGCTCGAGGGTAAAGTTCATACTATTTTGTTCGCTTTAGACGAGTCCGATTTAAATTTGTAGATTTTTGTGACACGCCTTCACTTTTTTTTGACGGGTGTTTTTAATTCCTGGGAATGGGAGTCGAGATATGTGCTTTTGTGCGACTGCTACGTTACACTCTTACTATATTTTCATATATGCGACTTCGTGTTATTTTGCACGCTAAATTTGCAGACTTTTTCTGACAGGCGTTAAAACGACATCTTGTCTCAAATTTGAACTATAGCTAAATATGATTTATCTTGTAAAAAAAAAAAGAACAACGGATTATGTTCTATTAAAACCTGTATATTTCTAGCAATAACAGGGGCTATCAGCGTTCGTGACATAACTTGTTTTGAAAGAAAATAGACCCTCTCACGGCTGCTTGCGTGCAGACGTCTCACAGGAGACGTCTGCACGTAGGCAATCTCACGGTTTTGTCAATTTTTGACATGGACCTGTTAGGCTATGGTGTACCATCTCCGCCAAAAAGCAAACTTGTAACTCAACATCCAACTTTACCGTTGTCAACATCGGACTTTACAGTCAACATAGAACTTTGTTGTTATCAACAACGGACTTTACAGTTGTCAACATCGAACTATTGACTCAACATCCGACATTACAGTTATCAACAGCGGACCATTGGCTCAACATCGGACTTTAGTTGACTATTTGTAACTCAACATCCAACTGCACAGTTGTCAACATCGCACTATTGACTCAACATCCGACATTACAGTTATCAACAGCGGACTTTGTCACGTCAACAAAACAAAATGTTCGACTTTGCCAAACGCCATGTTCGTCTTCGTAAAGTTCGATGTTGAGTTCTCTTCGTGCGTGCCAAATCCGCCGATAATTATGGGATTGCCAGAATGACGTCACTATGGCAAAGCCTCGCTCTCGTGTGAAAAAAGATGGCGGACTTGAGGAGTGTTATTGACATGTTGAATGATCTAGTCTCGAGAATTGATGCACTCTCCGATGTATCTGAAATTGGGGTTATTGTTGTGCG